TGCTGTTCAATTTTGTCTCTTTACTTGTGGTCGTCTTTTACCTCGCGCTATCTCGCGCTACCGCGCGCTCTCAAACATTTTTGGTCTTTTGAGCCGAATCATCGCCGGCAACCGCGAGTTCGGGAGTGTCTCCTACAACAGAAGACAACCATGAGTCTTGACCAGAGCAACATGGTCAGCAGCCAACACGAACTCTTCAAACGCATCTCCAGAGCTGAAGAGAACCTGAAGAAGATGGGGCAATCGAACATCACCCTCGCCGCCATCGACACCCGCATTCGCATTCTCGACGACCTGTGGACAAAGTTCGAGAGTCAGCACGACCTGATTCGAAATTGCTACAAGGATTCGAGCCGCTACGCTGAAAGTGAATACGCCCAATCAGACTTACTGGAGGCCGCCGAGATGGCTTACGTGCAGCAGCGTAGCGTCCTGTCCGGCGAGGCGGATCGCCGCAAGCCCGCGCAAGCCTCCGCGCCAGTAGAGCACGGTAACGACCGCGCGTTGAAAACCTCGCTGCCCCGTATACAGCTGGTGAATACGAGAAGTGGCCGTCCTTCCGGGACGTCTTTCGGTCGGTCATCGGCGATCAGATGTCCATTTCGGCAGTCGAGCGGCTGCATTACCTTCGCTCGTGTCTCAAAGGGCCGGCTGAAAATCTAATACAGTCGTTAACGATCACCAGCGAGAATTACGATCGCGCATGGGCAATTCTCAGTAAACACTACGAGAAAAAGAGGGAACTGATACGCTCCAACTTCGTCACGTTTACCGCCGTGGCGAAGATGAAGAGAGAAACCGCCGAGGAGCTGAGCTGCGTCCACAACGCCGTCACGGCCGCAGTCAATGCTCAGGAGAGCATCGGGAGGCCCATCGAGTCTCACGGAATGGACCTCTTCAACCACCTGGTTGTCGAGCTCTTCGACCCGCGAACGCGACTTGAGTGGGAGTTCTCCACCCGCGACTCCGTCGATCCGCCGGATCATGAGAAACTCAAGGATTTCATTTCGAAGCGCATCCTCACGCTGAACGCCGCGAGACCGAAACCCGCCGCAAAAACCCCCGATTCCACTTGGTCCGCGAAGACCCACCGCGCGAAACAAGGGTAAAAAAACAGTTCCGATCCGCAGTGCGCCCTGTGCAAGGGGAAACACTCTTTAATGACGTGCAGCGACTTCAAATCCAAGTCCGCCACAGACCGAAAGACGGTTGTCGAGACCAGCCGATTGTGTTACAATTGCTTCGTCAATCACACAGTCGCGAAGTGTCAATCAACGAAGAATTGCTTCACGTGCAAGGCTCGTCATCACACGATGCTTCACGAGGCATACATTCCCGCGTCAGCATCGAACGAGGTCAGCGCGCTGTCCGCTGTGCGCTCCGCTGACGACCGCAAGGCGATCCTCTTCGCGACCGCGCGAGTGACCGTCGCCGACCGCTACGGCAATCTGCATTCCGCTCGAGTTCTCATTGATCAAGGATCTGAGGTCTCAATCATCGCTGAGTCACTCGTACAACAGTTGCACCTGCAACGATCTCGCTCCGCCGTGTCGATTTTCGGAATCGGGGGGTCGAAATCCGGGTCAACCCGCGGGAAGGTGACGGTGAATCTCACGTCCGTAACGACCGGAGCCACGATTTCCGCCGTCGCGTTCGCGCTGCCTCGCTTTTCTGTGTACCAAGACTCGACGAGAGACCAAGAAGAGCCCCGCCACGTAGCCCCATCTCAAAGGGCTGCCTCTAGCCGATGCGCAGTTTTCGGCTGGAGACCCGGTCGAGTTACTCCTCGGAGCAGAAGTGTGCTCCACCATCCTCGAGGAGGGCCTTTGAAAGGGCGGACCGCATGCCCCGATCGCGCAGAAGACAGCCTTCGGGTGGATTCTGTCCGGCGGCTGCGGTGCTTCAGCCCTCCACGCGCGCGGCAGCTTTCAAGCGACGGCCGACAACGAGCTGGCCGATCTCGTGCGCCGCTTCTGAGAGCAAAAAGCAGAGCCTTCCGCTCCCGCCACCCTCACGCCCGATGAACAGAGGTGCGAGAACTTCTACGTGCAAACGCACTCTCGCACGGAGACGGGACGGTACATGGTCCGCCTACCGTTTTCCAAGGCGCCAACGACGTTGTCAAAAACTCGCCGACCGGCCGAACGCCTGCTGACCGCTATGGAGCGTAAGTTCCAAAGAGACTCCCGGTTCGGAGAGCTCTACCGTCAGTTTATGCGAGAGTACGAAGACCTGAAACACATGGAGTTAGCTACGGTCTCGCCATTCAACGAGGATGAGTATGGATGCTTCTTACCTCATCATGGAGTCCTCCGAGAATTAAGCACCTCCACCAAACTAAGGGTGGTATTTAACGGGTCGCAAGAGACAACGTTCGGCGAGTCGCTGAATCACCACCTCCTCATCGGCGCCAATTTGCTGCCCGCTTTAGTCGACGTGTTGACGCGCTGGCGCTGGCACCGCTACGCCTTCATCACGGACATCGAGAAGATGTACCGGCAGATCCTCATCCACCCGGACGACAGGACGTACCAGTGCATCCTCTGGTGTTGCGCCCTCCTTGCCCTCGTGTGCGTGTACCAGCTCCTCACGGTGACATACGGCCTCGCATGCGCGCCTTTTCTAGCCATTCGAACGTTGCAACAATTGGCCCATGACGAACAATCGCGATATCCGTAGGGAGCGAGCGCGTTGCGCGAGGACACCTACGTAGACGACGTTGTCTCGGGCGCGAACACTGTCCGCTGCGATCGCGAAACAAACAGAACTCCGCAGGTTGTGCACGGGCGGGTTCCCGCTTCGAAAATGGGCCGCGAACGACGAGGAAGTGCTGTCAGGAGTCCCCCCCGAACACCGACTTCACCACGAACCGCACTCATGGGAAAACGACTGCTTTTCTACTCTCGGGTTGTTGTGGCACCCGAACGAGGACACGTTTGCGTTCGCGATTCACCCGCGCACCGTCACCGAACTCTCGAAGAGACGCGTCCTCTCGGAAACCGCACGTCTTTTCGATCCGCTGGGATGGCTCGCCCCCGTGGTGATTCGCGCGAAGATCCTCATTCAGTCCGCGTGGCTCCAGAGATTCGAGTGGGACGATCCGCTTTCCGCCGCCGACGCGCAAAGCTGGAAGAGCTTCCTCGAGGAGCTGCTTCTCCTCTCCCGCTTACGCGTCAACCGCTGGCTCGGCAGCGGGGACGAGGACGCACAAGCGGAACTGCACGGCTTTGCCGACGCATCCGAGCGAGGATACCTGCCGCTGCCGTGTACCTCCGCATCACCCGGAACGGCACCGTGGCCATTCATCTGTTGGCCGCAAAGAGCAAGGTGGCCCCGGTCAGGCAGGTGACACTGCCACGGCTCGAGCTCACTGCCGCCGACTTGCTCACGTCTCTCACAGATCACACTCGTTCCACTTTGCGTCTGTCCACAGCACCCACGTTTCTTTAGTCCGACTCGCAGGTTACCTTGAAGTGGATTCAAGGACACGCTTCCCGCTGGAAGACCTACGTGGCGAACCGTGTGGCCCGCATTTAGCAAAGGCTGCCTGACGCTCAATGGAGACACGTCCCCGGGAGGGACAACTCAGCGGACTGCGCCTCCAGAGGAATCGCCCCAGGCGAACTGCTGGAACATCCCCTGTGGTGGACTGGACCCGCCTGGCTCCGCGAGGACCGATCTCACTGGCCGAGCGGAGACCTTGTGATGTCCGACGCCGATCTGCCCGAACAGAGAGTCGCGGCACACGTCGCCACCGAGAAAATCGAAGAGGAACCCGAGATGCTTCTCCGGTTTTCCTCCTTGCACCGGCTCCTCCAAGTCACGAGTTGGTGCTTGCGTTGGCGTCGCACCGCTTCTCGCACTACCGCACTTACACTGCAATTGACCGAAATCGATGACGCACTGCTGCTCTGGCTTCGCGTGGTGCAAGGACTGCACTTCACCAACGAGATCACGGCACTTTCTGCAAACCGCGCTGTGTCCCATCGCAGTTCATTAGCGAGCCTGAGTCCGTTCCTGGATGACCACGGCGTGCTGAGAGTCGGAGACCGCCTCAAGCATGCCCTGCTTTCCACCGATGAGCGACATCCGATGATCGCACCGCCGTCCTCGTGGCTCACTCGGTTGCTCATCGAGTCGTGCCACCGTCGAACACTGTACGGAAGAGTACAGCTCACTCTCGGCTTTACTCCGCCGTCGCTTCTGGATTCCTCGTGGCCGCTCAGTTGTCAAACAGCGGCTGCACCGCTGCATCACTTGTACCCGCTGGCGAGCCATGACACCGCAACCGCCGATGGGCGACCTTCCGAGAGGCCGAGTCACGCTAGCGCGCGGATTTCTCCGGACCGGCCTGGACTACGCCGGCTCGATCCTCCTCCGCACGAGCAAGGGCCGCGGACATCGAGCGTACAAGGCCTTCATCGCTGTATTTGTATGCCTCTGCACCAAGGCGGTGCATCTGGACGTCGTGTCAGATTACACGACGGACGCTTTTCTCGCAGCTTTCCGTCGCTTTATTTCGAGGCCTCTGCGAGGAGCTGTACTCAGATTGCGGCACTAATTTCGTGGGAGCCGACCGAGTCCTGAAAGAGTTCTTTCGAGCTTCGTCTGCCGACGGCCGTCGCCTTGCTCACGCCGCCGCCACGGAGGGCATAAAATGGCACTTTAACCCTTCGGCTGCGCCGCACTTCGGAGGACTGTGGGAGGCCGCCGTGAAGTCGACCAAATTTCATCTCCGTTGGGTCATTGGGGAGACCACGCTCACCTTCGAGGAGATGAGCACTCTCCTCTCTCAGGTCGAAGCCTGCCTTAATTCCAGGCCGCTGCAGACTTTGTCCGACGATCCGGACGACATATCCGCTCTCACACCGGGCCACTTCTTGATCGGTGCTCCTCTTCTGGCCGTGCCCGAATCCGCCTTGAATGACGCCGCTGAGAGCTCACTTTCCCGGTGGCAACACCTCCAAAAAATGCGCGATCACTTTTGGTCACGGTGGTCGCACGAGTATATTAACGGGATGACAACTCGCTCAAAGTGGCTCAAACCCGAGGACGCACCTGCCGTCGGATCTCTGTGCTTGGTGCGATCCGAAAGCACGCCACCGAGTCGATGGCCACCGGCCCGCATTATTCGAGTGCATCCCGGAGACGACGGTATTGTGCGCGTGGCCACAATCCGCACCGCTACGTCCGAGCTGGTTCGACCACTGTGCAAGCTCGTGCTTCTCCCGGGGGCTGAGGACCAGCCGCCGCCGACGGATGCGTGAGCTTACCGACACTCGCTGTCACTTTATTGTCTCATCGGCCTTCAGCCTGTAATTTTCTCATTTTCGTCACGTATTCGTCTGTTTCGGCCCTCTGCCAATGTCAATCCACGCAACCGCTTATTTCGGTTTTCCGCCTCGATTCAACGATTTGTGCAACACATGAAATCACTTTCGCGCATCACTTCACTTTACTTCACTTTTCACATATCACCGAACTCGCGTTACGTATATATCGCGAATATTTATGTGTCTCGCTCGGGATCATCGCACGTTGTGACACTGCGCAGGCGCACCACGCCGCCGGTGCTCGCCTGCACCACGCGCCGAAAGCCGAAATCACGTTCATGCAAATCGATCGCATATCGATTCTGTCGACCGCGACGTCAGGCGCCTCATCGAGCGAGCCATCGAACACACCGTCTTGTTTCGTCAGGCATGACGAGGCGGGCGGGATGCTTGAGATCGTAACCACGAGCATCGTGAAACCACGCTAGATTGCATGAAAATTTCGACGCATGCATGAAAAATGTTCGCATAATGTCTCGCATCAAATTCGTCGCGTTGATGTTCAACATAGCATGGATCTTTCTAGCATTCGCAT